GTACAACCTGATGTTGATCGTATGTACATGGTATCTATTCATCTATACACTTGTATAATCTTTCAAAACTCCTCAATTCTTAATGCCATTAACCAATAACAAATACATTAATGTAGACCTTTGTCCAAGCAACAACAGGCGGCGGCGGATGGCCTATGTCCGTTTTTCTTACGGTAATAATCTTTTCATCTTCAGACTTATGCTCAAAGAAATTATAAATTAAAAATATACTTTTCCTAATATTTTGACGACTATTATTATATAAAGCCTGAATTGTATCGTAAGTGTTTTTTTTGCACAGACCATCAAAATGCTATGTTTAATTTTAATAATAACGATGATTTTTTTGGTAAAGCAATTTATGGAGGAACTTATTTTCCACCGAGGGATCAATTTGGCAGGCATGTGTTAATTAAATAACTTCTTAATGGCCAAATTTTGACTTTTGATTATATAATATAGACCAGGATTTCCTACTTTGTTGAAGCGGATCGCGTCGTTGTAAGTTATTTGCATAACTGAGTTATTTGAACAATTGTCATTAGGGAACACTTCAATTTGTTTTTCTATTAATAATAAAAGATGGAAAGAAGACTCGGAGAAACTCAAAAAATCCGGAATGGATGTGATCGATATGTTGCGCAATGCTTTTGGGGTGATTATTATTTTTTGGACCGCTTGTTCTGTATATACACCATTTATTGGTTCCCTTTTTTTAATATCTGAAGACTAACGACAGCGGAAAAAGTAAAGATAATATCAATATGGATATAGCACATAAATGCTACAAGCATTTTGTAAACACGTTTGATTCAAAAGAAGGAGGATTTGGGGGTATGTAATTATACATTTCTTTATTTGTTTATTTCCATTGAAGTGTTCTATTATTTTTCTTTCTGATTTCTTAACTATTATCATAAATAAAAGGCGAGCCAAAATTTCCAACGCCTGTCCAATTCCATTTTCTTCTCCGATATTATTACTACATCTATCATGAGTACGAGTTGAGTGACGAATCATTATCGAATTTATCAATTTCACAAATCCATGCCAAAGGCAATCAATTAGGAATAGATTTTAAAGATTGTTTTGAGAAGAGTGATTGTATTCAGAAACTTCAGAAAGCTGTTGCAAATCGACAAGAGACTGCACAGAAAGCCTTGGAGATGGTTAAATTCACTTTAATGGTATGTGCCGAGATTTTATAGCTCTTTGTTAAAATATATATATGTGAAATTTAGTTGCCGCTTAATCATGTCATTCCAATTTTTTAAAGAAAATTGCCAGAGGCGGAATTCATGGTGAATTATATTTTTTTCAATTGGCGATATTGGCTATGATTTTATCATACTTATTTGATCCGAATTTCTTTCTGTAGACCATGTTGGAAGTGGATTTCATCGGTAAAAACTTTTTTATACAAATTCAAAACAAAATTACTTGTCAATTCATTAAATCATTAAATTCTATATTGTCAGTTATTCAACTGATCGTTATTGGCACGTTCCTCATTTTGAGAAAATGGTATAAATTTTAAAATTCTCTTACTATTCATTTTTTCTAATTATTTATGTTTCACAAGATAAATATTGAAAATAATAGCTTTACGATCAAGCACAGCTGCTCGCAACATGCATTGAAATATTTCTACTTACCAAAGAAGAATATTTTGCAGAGGTGTGTATGTGATTGGTTGACACCAACTATTATCAATACCAATTAGCTTAATATCAAAAATATTTATTAATTAACAAACAGATTGCACGCGACATAATCAATTATGTTAAGCGCGACTTGAGGGATCCGGTAGGTGGCGGATTCTACTCAGCCGAAGACGCCGATTCTTATCCTTATGAAGGTGCGACACATAAACTTGGTAAGAAAAGTCCTAATTAATACTTAAAGTTAACCTTCGTTTTATTATACATTCAACTAATCATTTTAACTTGTAACTAATTTAGAGGGTGCATTTGCAGTATGGGAAACATCAGAATTGGATCAGATTTTAGGAGAAGATTCGACTGTTTTCTGTTATCATTTTGGGGTTAAGGAAAAAGGAAATGTGCCAAGAGAAAAAGATATTCAGGGCGAGCTTATAAATAAAGTATTACTAATTAACTCAGATTACAAAAATATAATATTTTGGGAAGGATATTTTAAATAATTTTTTTATTATTCAACAGAATGTGTTGATTGAAAGATATACCCTTGAAGAAACGGCTAAAGAATTTAGTCTCTCCCTCGATACATTGGATCAAATCATAAAGCGTTGTAAAGAAAAACTGGCAAAACACCGGGCAGAGAAACGTCCAAAACCTCATCGTGATGATAAAGTTCTCACTGCATGGAATGGTATATTAAAATAAACCTTTTACAAGGATTGAGGAGTTTTGAAAGATTATACAAGTGTATAGATGAATAGATACCATGTACATACGATCAACATCAGGTTGTAC